TCGTAAATGTAAACAATCACGTTTCTGTAAGGCATTAATCCACTGTTTAGTGTTGAGATTGTGTGCTGCTAATAGTATTCAGAAAATTGAACATTTTAGCAATATTACTGTTTACCAGACGTTACCTTTCACCTTTAATTAAAAACACATTAACCACTCTGCTTTGATCGCAGTAGCACAATGCGTCAGAGGGTTGCTGGGTGCTGAGCTGAGAGCCCACAGGTGCCGACAGGGGTTTCTGTGCAATAAATTGGCTCTGAGGGGGACTGCAGCAGAGGCGGGCACAGTGGGGCTGTACTTGCAGGCTTGGCACGCACCAGGGTGTCAGGGAAACAGGTTCTACTTCTCCCTGGTCGACAACACACCTGAGCACCCAACCAAACACACACACCTCCTGCCCATCTGGGAGTTTACCTGGCAGTGAAACCTGAAGGAGGAGACGCACAGGGTTTTCTACGCCATAAGGAGGAGGCAATATAAATCCCCAGAAAAAAATAGTTGTGAATATTTGAAAGCATAATCCAACCCACTGCACTGTATGGCAGTGAAGCGTGGGTTCATCACAGAGCAGGATCACACTAAATTGGACGAACCCCTGCACACAGAGCTCAGAGTAAAACATTCTCCCTATCCAGAGAAAAACACCAAACCATGCATGCAGGGGTGAATTAGGCCATTACCCACTGCTAATCAATACACAGGAGACAGCAATAACATTTTGGCTACATCTGAAAAACTAACCAGTTTACTTAATTAAGAGATTTAAATGAACAATAAAGGGTTGCCATTTTGTGGCAATTTCTACAAAGCAAAAAATCCTCACTGTTGAGGGGAGACCAGCTCAACTCCATTTTCACTTTTGGTAGTGATCGACTTTGCTTTTACAATTCATTGTTGCTTCCAGAACTTCACCTCCCAGTGTAGATCTGAGGGGAATCGCAGCGCTATGTTGATATTTCTGTTGGAAAGAATCGGCAATAATGAAAGCATTTCAAACCAAAATTAAAGTAAAATGCACACAATAACTTGTAAAACTTCCCATTTACACCAGAAAAACAGATGATTTCTAGTTTTGGACAGCACCATAGTCTGAGATTCAGAACAAGGTAACAAAACGTCCAGTGAGGTGAAGCAGCCCATTACACTGTAACCAAACAGGCTTGTGAACACGGCTCTTTTAATCCAATAGAAATGTTGCTATCGCCTCGAAGCAGAGAAATATGTCCTGTCAACTCTGAATGCAGATCACGTTGAACATCTTCTCGCACAACCTGGACCTATCTGCTTATACATTCGCATTAAACGTCTTCATTACAGGGACCCGTGAGCAGGAAGAGCTGCATCACGTTGCAATTCTCGTGAATTCTCAACAACACGGCGACTGTACTGTACTTTCACGGAATCCCCCGATTTCAATTCTGAATTTCTTTTTTGCGATTCAAGCAATTGATTCCGTTAGTGAAATCCTCATAACCGGTCTGTGGAAGTGGGAGCGCTGTTCCCGTTAACCCAGTCCTGGTGGCGGACGGTCCGCCCATCTACGGGAGTCCTGCCTCTGCTCTGGGAGAAGCTCATAAGCTGATCACGAAGCCAATAATTCAGGACTGAAAACCTCTTGCCAAACAGGCCATCCTACATCTGGGGGACCTTCACTTGAAACCCCCTTACAGTCTGGTGGGGGAATGGGACAGAGGGAGGGAATTGGGGACAAAGGTTTGGAAGACAAGCAAAGACAGTGGAAAGGAGAGGGAACAATCCTACCCCCCCCTAAAAGAAACAGAACACACCAACACCTCATTTACAAAAAACTCTTTATATAAAATATGAATACAGATGTTTACAGTGAGCCCAGTCCCCCTACCACCCCCCCCACCCCAACGATGTGTACGATCTAGAGAGGAGAGAGTGCGTCGGGGTCACACCTCCACTCGAAATGCTATCATACAGCCAACTGGGGTCCCCGTGACCCTCCTCACCAACACCAGGGTCCCCAGTTTAAACCGGCCAGCAGCTCAGATTGAAGACGAGAGCAGCAAGCCTGAACACGAACACTCCCAAAGGCTCAAGTCAAGATGTCCGCAGGGCATCCGATATTTATCAGACCTGAAGGATACGTGGCTTTAGTTAACAAGAGGTAGCTCTGACCTGCACTCACTCTCAAAAAAAAGTGTACAATATCACAATACAGGAGCGAAGCAGCTGACGCCGTCTCTCAGCGAGGCAAGCTCACCTCAGACACCTCGTCTCTCGGCCACAAGCAAACCAGCAGCAGAGGTCAGAGGCAGCTGCAGCCTGGTTAAGCTGGGCCAGAAGTACTGTTCTTTCAGCCCAGCTGTTGGACTGCAGGGCACACAAACCCAAGAGTGAAACTTCTCCACCTCCCATCCAGGCGACTGCAAGATTGCAGCACACCGACAGATGGACTTTGAAAACCTCCTTGAGAAGAAAATGTGAAATAAAACCCTCCAAATCTTCAAACTTTTTACATGCTATTTGCACATGCTATTTGCACACAGGTCACAGGTCTCACACTCTCCCTTGCAGTTCCAGGTTTGCCCACCAGAGGGCCCACCTCCCCAGAACTGAAAGTGCAGTGAAGGGCAGTGGGGGAAAGATCGGGGCGCCCAGTTTAATCCCTGTGGATGGACAGGCTTGGCGGTTTGATCCAGGGCCGTCCAATCCTGGCTTCGAAAGGCCAGAATGTGTCTCTAGCTTTTCCAGGGTGGTCCCAGAAACTGAAAAACTCAGTTTAGAGCCCAGGCAGGTCGACAGCCTGCAGAGACACCGGCCCAGCAGAGGAGCAGGACTGGAGGGCCCTGGCTTGATTAACTGAATTTAATTAAGGAGGTGGTGGGACTGAAGGCCAGTAGCGACGCAGTCTTGGCATTTCTGTGCCCCGTCTGGACACCCGGCCAGTCTGTAGCCCTCACTGACTGGAGGTGTGGCCCTGTGTCAACGCAGCAGGGCGAACGTGTAAAAACCCCAGAGGCACGGCTCTCGCATTCCCCCCTGGACAGCAAGACCCTCCAATTCCTGCCCCAGCTGGGACTGCCAGGCTGAAGCGGTACACCGGCCCCGACAGACGCTGCACGCTCTCCCAGACCGACACTCGCCAACAGGCCCTCAAGC